GACCCTGTGATGGACTGACCAGGATCTACTCTGCCTTCACCTAAAGTCAGCTGGGATAGACTCCACCATGACCCTCTCCAGGATAAAGCAGTGTTTAGATCACAGACTGATTTCATTGTTTACTTTTTCTACAGGCTTTAGATATGGATATAACCCTAAAACAGAGACTGAAGCCTTGTACCTTCACTTTAGAAGATTTGCAGTGAGTCTCCTTATCGGTGTGAATGATGTTCTTATATTTGTTATTTACTTGCTCTCAAAATCCATAAACACACAAAACTGTTCAAAATTTCACAAGAATATCGGACTGAATGTGGGGTTACCGAATTTATTCTTCACAGCACCAAGAAAATCGTTGAACGTCTGTGAAACCACACTGTTCTCCACTGAGAACCCATCAAGGGAGCTGAACCTTCACTATAAAACGCTGAGTTCTCCCACTGAGCCCAGTTCAAACAGGGAGAGGAGGAAGGAAAGCGTGAGGACATTTGTGACGTGAGAATGGGAAACCACATGATATTGCTTTCTACAAACACACGTCATCACACGTTATTTCATCTACACATGACATCAAGACTTCAGCAACACAGTAAAACTCCGTCCTGGACTCTCTCACCTCGTCCCTGAAGCCACACCTGAGCACAAGCCAGGTTGTCATCACACAAGACACAAACATTAGCACAGAATAGTTATTTATCACAGCTAATAGTTCACTTTACCTTGAACAAAAACTAACAGGATTCATGGGGAGAGGAAAGTTTATCTCTTATTTTCTGAATATGGTAATTAGTGGAGCTAGTTGTTATTATTATTATCATTTTTGTAATATTTAATAGTTAAATATTTAGGGATTTATTTTGTTGTTTTATTTGAAGAATAAGTCTTGAGTTGCCTTATAAAACTAGTGTCATTTGTGCTAATTTGAGAAGCTGTGAATGCTTTTATTTTGAAGGTGCTGGGTCGCTGGGGCACTGGGTGAATCTACATATGGGCGGCAGGACTCATTGTTCGTTTGCTTGCAACGGAAATAAAGAAACTTTCTATTCTTGCCTGGACAATGGACTTATTGTATAAAGTGCCTCAGTGGCTGTTTGATTTCTTTTTTATTTTATTTATTTATTTTGATTATTCATCTCAGGACAAATAGCCACCACAGTTATATATTAAAATGAACTCCAGGTCAACAGGTTGTCACAAATGTGCTTCACCTGTATTCAGACGGAGACACTGCAGAATCCATTAAACTCACGCAAACAGCTTCTTTGTTCCTTGCTAATGTTTATTAAAGACACGTCACACATAATGAGGAAGTGTTGGAGCTGATTGTAACGTTTCTACTAACAGTCCTGGGACATTAGAACTCCTTTCTGGTTTGAAGAAACGTTTGATGCTGTGTGCTCAGCTAGAATAGAACATGTGATATGTCTTTATGATCTTATTGTTAAAGGTTAATCGCTTTTATTGTTTTGTTATCTCCTTTCTGATTTGTCCTCTGACATCTCTATCTATTGTTTGCTGGTGCACAGACAGCAGTGATTTGACTTGACTGTGCAGGTATGGCTTCTGTGTGGTTGCTGTTGTCTGTTGCAGCACTAAGTCAACACTTGTGTGTTTTTATTACACGTTGGAGGGTCTTCCTGCTGCAGGGCGCAGTTCCCACGCCACACAGTGATGGCGCTGGTGAGCACACCCTCGACTGCACCTCTGTAGAAGTTGCTTTTCAGGCGGCATCCCAAGTTTCCTCAGGCTCCGAAGGAAGTACAGCCGTTTGTGCGCCCTATATTATAGTCATATTATATTGACGATACTGCCTTTGGTTCAGTGTTGTAAAGCAATCAAAGGAGAAAACTTCGACAGGAGGTGGAGGCCTTTTATAGACACTGTATATCTGTGGTCAAAGGTGTTCTGTGGTGTGACAGAGACCTTTGAAGCTGGGTGGAGCCGCACTGTAAAAAAATAACATCTAGTAAAAAAAGCAACAGTGAAAATGTTGGTGCCAGAAAAAAAAATACATGAAAAATCTGTGAAATCATGTAACGTTCAAAAACTGTGAAATAAAATATCTGTAAAATAACTAAACAGGGAAAATCTGTAAAGTCACGTTTTATTGTTTATGAAATATTACAGTTAAAAAACAACAACAGAGCGAGCCCTTCTCCCATTGGTCACCACAGCCTCAGGCGGGAGAGGACGTTCATTTCCCCATTGGTCAGTTTTGAAACTTTAAAAAAACGTCGACGTTTTACAGTGACAGGTGTTTTACAACATGACCGGTGACCACAGACTGCTGACTGGCTCTAACTTTATATCGACTCACTTCCCTGAAAGCTGCTGCTCGGATGAGAAATGGCTCAGAAAGGAGCTAAGATTTATTCAGAGAACATTTCTTGTTCCATCTGTCTGGATCTGCTGAAGGATCCAGTGACTATTCCCTGTGGACACAGCTACTGCATGAAGTGTGTTAAAACCCACTGGGATGGACAGGACCAGTGGAGAACCTACAGCTGCCCTCAGTGCAGGAAGACCTTCAAACCGAGGCCTGTCCTGGAGAAAAACGTGCTGCTGGCAGAGTTAGTGGAGGAGCTGAAGAAGACTGGACTCCAAGATGCTGCTGCTGATCACTGCTATGCTGGAGCTGAAGATGTGGCCTGTGACGTCTGCACTGGGAGGAAGAGGAAGGCTGTCAAGTCCTGTCTGGTCTGTCTGGTCTCCTACTGTGACGA